CCGGCTAAGTTTACTGCTGAAATCAAGGTGTCACTATATAAAGTATGATTCATATGCCCCGTCCTGCAAGACCAAACCACATTTGTAATTACAAGAGGCAATGGATAATGCTAGATGTTGGGCTGGGGTAATGCCAAGCATCTTGGCATAAACCACTTGCTGCCGGGTGGATTTTTCTTGAGCAAGACAAGATGCCGGCTCATTTTCAATATTTTCCATTTTCAAAGTCCTTCAAAAATTCATCATTTCATTTAAGGGCTGTTAATACCAAAATGAAGGACTCTTTGGGCAATATTCTAAAGCTGACAGGTAAAAATCATTGACTCCTGAATATTTCAGCCAGGCTTGCAGCACTGGAAAAAGAGCCTAGATTGTGGGGTGTTACGTAAGATTCTTCTGTTCCCGAAAACGGCACAGTGCACTGCTGACCTCTTTTCAATAGGGGCCAGATTGGCGTGCTGTGTGGCTCATCACTGCGGTGGTGGAGAGCTTTTGTCCCCGGTGGTAAGCCGCTCACTATAAATGCCTCAAACCGTGGTATACTCAAAATAAGGCTGAATTTTCTCCACTATTGAGAGTGACAAAATGTCAGTAATGCCCAGCAGCTCAGTCTTTTGTGCTGAGCACAGTCTTTTGTTATAAGGCCCAACTCTTTTGTCCCAGTTCTGGGCTCCCCGTCTCTGCATATAAAGCCTATGTACTCGAAAATAGGTCGCCCGGCAGGAAGGGGTTAATGTTGATGTTTGTACAAGGTTTTGTTTATCTCATAAATCATTTCAAAGATTAGGTAAGTTTTGATTTAGTAGTTGGCTTTGCATATGAAACATACCCTCAGTAACTCTGGAAATAAAGGCCAGACTTACAGACCAAAACTTCTTCCAGTGCTACATTTTTCAGATTCAGGAATTATGAACATTGTAACTGTGCTGGTCAGTGAAATAAAGCTGAAACAATTTGGAATTCTAAATTGAAAATCAAAATGTCACTCTTTGGTTCAGGGTTAGCATTTGAGCCAAGATTCAATTTGCTACAGAGAGGCAAAGAACTTCAACAGAGGCAGATCCCATCCCCACAAACTTTTGTATAATTTCAAGGTTTTAATCCCCTCAAAGTCTTCAGTAGAAGCCTTACAATACTTCAAATCTAACTGAATTATTATTGGCATTTGTTTGCCTGAATATTACAAGTACACTAGGCTGATAAGCCACACAATCTAATCTTTCTAATGGAAATATCTTGATTTAGCTGAACAAAATGATCTTACACATGCACTTCACAGACATCAAATGTATATGAGGAGCAGAAATTACCACAATGATGTTAACTTCAACATGAGAAAATACACATACTGCAATTAAGTCCAGTAGGTATGCTAGTGATTCATATCTTCAACAATTTGAGTAATGAAGAATAAGAACTGAATACCTGTTAAGTAACTGTTTTGATTCACATAAACTGCTGGGAAAGAATCCTCCCCCATGTTAAGTGTGTCAGGTCTACTAGAGCATACCTACCCAAGCAGTCACTACATATATGTATGTTTCCCTCGTGCCTATTTATTATTCACTGAAAAGATTCGATCATCCGTGGTGACCTGACCTCCCACATTGCAATGCAGTATTGTCGCCATGATTGTCCTTCTTTTCGAAAGTGACTCAAAAGAATTGGAGCCAAAAGCAGGGAGGATTGGTGGGAGAGGACTGTTTGGGTAGGTATGCTCTTGTAGATCTAACCCACACTTAATGTGGGGGAGGAGTCTACCGGGCCCCACCAACCCAAACAGTCACTACACAGGCAGAGTGACACTGACCTGGGGGAGGGGTTGGCGATGATCCGAAAGTGTTAGTCATGAGCACAATAATATGCACTAAGTAGTGTACAGTCAAACACAGATAAGAAGACACCGTTGATGCAAGAAAAACTATTGTGACAAGGCAATTTGTGAGGTCCGAAGCGCCTCATTATAATTAATTTGTTCTACTGTACTAAGGAGTAATAAATAATAAATTCACCAAGAAAGGATCTTCACACTGACTGTTCCTGCACTCAGCCTCTGGTAGCCCAAGACTTCCTTGCTGCTGATAGTAGAATCGTCTTGCCATGTGCGGAGTCACTCTGCAAGATATCCCTCAGGTTGCAAGGGGTGAATGTACTACTTCTGGCACACAGCCTAACAGATGTCCGCAATGAAAATCCCAGTAAGGCCAAGAAGTAGATACTGCTCTTACATGATGGGCTCTGATATAGTGCTGGCTCTGGTTATCAGGATGTGATGGCCAGTTTGGGTTGGCGAATTTAATGGCCGAGACTATCCAGCGTGCTATAGTGTCTTTTGCTGCTGGGCGATGTTGGTTTGGTAGAGGTAATAAATAGTTAGGAAACTGTACCTCTCATATTCTTGGTCTTGGCGAGGTACCACTTCAGGACACAAACTGGGCACCAGTATTTGTCCTCTTCATCTCCCGTATGTGAAGCAATTGTCTGTACAATGTGGTGGATTGAAAGAAGGAATGACGCTGTGTGGCTCTTACTGTAGATGTCCCTCAGCAACGGAAAGGGCTTGAAGCTCACATCCCCTTCTGGAAGTAGTTACGGCCAGGAGTAAGGCCAGTTTAATGCTGGTACGCATCAGGGAGGCTTTACTTAAAGGTTCAAAGGGGGCACCGCTGAGCATCCACAGGACTGTACTCAGGTTCATGGACAGCACTAAATGTTTTACATGCATTGAATAAACATGTAGGAGATGGTGAAGGGCAGCGTTATTGGAAATGTTGGATCCATCTTTAAAGCCGGAATGGATGGCAGCCAGAGCTGATCTGTAGTAACGGATTGTGGAAACTTGTCAACCAGAATGAAAAAGGTACATGAAGTCTGTGACTGCCCTCAGTGGAGCATTGGTTGGAGCCACAGCATGTTCGTCATACTACGTAGCGAAATGTCGTATTCTGCTGTCGTACACCTTGCAGGTGGAAGACTGTCGCCCCCATGTGGCCATGGCTGCAGTATTGCTAGAAAGTCCCACCGAGTGGAAGTTTCGTTGGACAATGTCCAGTACGTTAGGTGAAGATCTTCGGATGCTGGCTGGAGTATCTCCGATTTTGGCTGTCAGAAAATGTCTGGTCTCTTTGGAAGGACGAACGGCCGATGGACTAGGAGTCTCATCAGTCAAGGGAACCATGGTTGACGTGTCCAGAAGGAAGCCATTAGCAGAATCTGACAGTGTTCTTGTATTTTGGAGATGACCCGTGAGACCCGAGAGATTGGGAGAAGGCGTATGCTAATAGGCCAGTCCAATTTGAAAGGCGTCTGTAGCCCATGCTCTCGGGTGCATTGTTCTGGTACAAAACACATGGCATGTTATGTATGTTGTGGAACTACGCGGCAGAGGTTGCTGCAACATTGAAGGTGGGATTTTGCAGAGGGATATCTTCTTCAAGGTATCAATGCACTTTGCCTTGGTTTCCAGCTGGTGGAAAGGTCTTCACTGAAGAGAGGAAGTTGCTGGAGATGAATCTTAACACCCTCGTGGGGAATGTGTATGACATCGAGGGCATTGGACCTTCTTGTCAAAGTCGTTAGGCAGGATATTCAAGCAACCTGTTTGAATTTTTTTTGTTGCATGTTACAGTTTCTTGTCAAGGCCCAGGAGAGCAAGGACTGCAAAGTCCAGGGAAACTGGTGAGTTCTCCTCGCATGCACGGGTAATGTATTCCGACAGGAGGAAGAGGTAGGCGGTACATCGTAGTCCAAAGCAGAAGGCTTTGTTGAGCTTTGCGAGCTTTAGCTCCAGTAGGGCTTTATCCTTGTCCCGGCAAATTCCCTGAGCAAGTGGTCTTCCCAAGTCTGCACTAATCTTGTCTTTGGCCGCATGGGAAGGTCCAGAACTGACAGGAAATTCTTGAAATCCTCCATTGGGAATAGAAGAAAGCTGCAGCTCAGTTGGGAAGTGCACGCCATTGCTTGGCTTTGGTGAGGGATTTACATCTCCATGCAGGAGCAATCAAGGGAGAGTTTGGGAAAGATTGGCCCAGAAGCATCTTGTCGAGTCGAGCGTCATTTGAACGAGCTGTGACTGGAATCCTCCTCCGATGGAGTGGCTGCAGGCAGGCCAAGAAGTATTGGAATCATGTCCCATTGAAGAAGATGGAGAGGAGCCTCGGCTGGAGTAAGAGCACTGATAGAATCGACCTCTTTTTCCTTGGAAGAGACTGTTGGTTGTCCAGTTGGGGACAGGGCCGAATGTACAGTAACATCTTGACAAGTCAAAGCTCAGGGAAATGGAGGAAAACCTCAAGTTATCCTACGTTTGAGTTATTGCAAGTTACACGCTTCAGTGCACATGCAACCTTACTGGCTTACAGCAGTTTGAGTCGAACACGAAGTGGATTTTAGGCTATCCCTACTGTGCAAGTTTTCTTCAAGCATCATCATTAAACATGTTTTTATGTGGCACATTAATAAACAATAAACCAATGAAGTTATGTACCGGTATTTGTGTCTATGTCTTGAGAATTCAGTCATTTGCTTTGCTTGATCGGGCTGTTACCGCATAACACAGCGCGTGGGCCAGTCGGTCAGGGTTTCCGTACTGGGTCACGTGATACATGTACAAAGCGCTTGAGGGCGCATCATTCATGCCTGATTTAGGCTGTATCCGAATCTCTTGTCTAGAGCTAGGTCTTGGTATTCACTCTATTGGAAATGCATTGAGACGCGCAGACAATAGGCATAGCCATAGCTCTGGAGCCCGTTTTGGACATGGCCTTATTTTATGGTTGCAGTTGATGCACGTGTGAACATGCTCGGCTCATCAAAGAAAAGTCGTGCGCGTGACAGTAATGACTCATAATGAAGGCAAGCATTCTTTCATCACTTTTTATTCACCCCTCTTCAGTGTTTTTTTTTAAATTGGCCTGCCAAAACTTCGAGATAAGCGGCTTTAGTGGTATTAACGTTTTGAGTTACGGATAGTTTATTGTACATAAAGGCCTATTCTTTTATTGAGAATACAGAAAGACGTCGAGGTACATGGAGTTTCGACTTAACAGGCTTCGACTTATCGAGATTTTACTGTAGTTCCGATCCCTGCACGGTGGGGGTATAGACCATTCTTGTAAGAAAATGCCTGGGTAGTGTGACCCCAGTGTGGAGTCCGGGTCGATGTCAAGGCAGCTTGTGGTCGAGGACGGCGGGAGCAGAAGGACTGGTCCAGGGCAGTGGAGGCTGGAGGTGGTCTGTTGTTGAGGTGATGGGCAATGGAGGTAAGGGCCATATTGATAGATTGAAAGGCCAACATCCAAGCCTTCTGGTCGTGCTGATCGTAGCAGTGCTTCTTGGCCGGTTTGGAGGCATTGGATGAAGATGAGGAGCACTTGTGTTTGCTCTTCCTCGTAGTGGGCAACCCGGCGGTGGAGGCGGCAGACAGGGCCACAGTAGGCAGAGCACCTGGGGAGCATTCCCAGTCGATTACAGTGGGAACTGGAGCATTGGGCGGAAGGACCCAGAGAAGTAGGGCCTAGAGAGGCCCAGTTGAAAGCCGGGCTGCAGTGACTTGAAGCCCTGATGATGTAGAAGTTTGGTGGGCTGCATAGTACCAGAGGGAGATTGGCTGGGTGCCCCATTTATGGAGAGCCCAGTCTATAAGCTTAAGTCTCTGAGTAAGAGAGAGTACGCTCGGAGGCCGCCAGAGAAGTGGTCTTTTTGACTGATGTCAAATGGCAGCTGATGCTCTACGGAGTTGTTGGGGGAACACTGGCACGAGTGCTGCGTGTGTTCCTCTGGACCATGGCCGGTGAAAGGTGTGGTAAGTTCTCTGTGGTGGTAGGGCAGCCTGGTAGGGTACTCCCTCAGGAGTCCTGGATGGTTCGCCAGGCCAATGATTGACCAAGGAGACAGGGGGCCATACCAGATCCTGGCAGTGCCCCTGCTCAAGTGGTCATCCACAGTCAACAGAGTGCAAATACAAGGAAAATAAGGATGAGAAAAGAACACAAATATACACCAGAAAAACATGCTTACCGCATGAAGTGTGAAAATTAAGGTAATACTTTATTCAAGAAGGAAGGATGGATGATCAAATTGACACAGAACTGTGTAGTGAAAACGGAAACTCGATAAATCAAAGATGCCAAGAGAGACATGTCTGTTATGTTACGGAATCGATAAAAGGACAATCACGGTGACGAGATCATGTTGCACTGTGGGAGGTCAGGGTGCATCACCGATGATTGAATCTTTTCAGCGAACAATAAATAGGTGCAAGGGAAATTTCCATATGTAGTGACTGTTTGGGTAGGTAAGGCCCCATAGGCTACAAATGTCACTTTGTTAAAGAATTGAGAAAATGCAAATTTCCTGTCGATGTGACCCTTTAGTTTCCAAAATACGTCTCCAACCTGTAATCCTTGGAAGATTGCAATTTAGCTGACAGCACACACTTTGCTTTGACTAACGGATACACTTTTCTTCTGAGTCCCTGCTGCAGTTCGTTTTTCCCTTGCATCTTGCCGTAAATGACTAGACTGCAGCTTAACAAGTTGCTCTTGAAGATTTAGTACAAGATCATTGTTTGCAGCCATTTTCTGAGTTTGCAAATTAAGTTCCTCCCGTAAATTTTGAATTTCTTGCTTCATTACACGTTCTCTCTCCTGATATAAAGAAAAGCAACCAAAAGAGCCCAAGTTACATTTACTAAATGATTTAGGCTAAATGTCATAAACTTAGCCCTGGAAGGCTTTTACATATTTTGTGGACAAACACAGCCATAGTAGACTGGACAAGAAATACATCTCTATGAGGTCAAAAGCACAAGCATGAGGAAGAAAAGCACAAACACTGCCCACACATTTGGAGTTGTTGGTATCCTCACGGCACTCAGTACAGCAACGTTGCTAGGGAGTTACAATACAGCACCGAACCAGAGAGTGCAGTGCAAACAAATGGAGAACATACACGTGTTGCTTCCGCTCTGGTTCTTGCACCAATTCCTTGTAAACATATACAGTTGTGTGTGAGATGTAGTCTCTTCAGTACTCTATAGAGTATCAAAGTGAATATTTCACTCACACAATAAGTGTATGCATGTAAAAGGTATTTTCACCAAAACCAGCGAGTGAACCAACACACGTGCGTACTCCATTAATTTGCACTACATTCAAAATGACATCACACCTCAGTACTCTGTGATGACACTGGTGAGACATGACAACTGACTCAAAGATTCTGGAAGCTAATTTAAAAACAGAGGAAACATAACTCAAAAAATATGATCCTGATTCCTCCCAAAACAATCCATATTCACTTCCCCAATGAGTGAAGTTGCTATGCAATAACCCTCATTCTTGCTTAACTGTAGTGGGAGCAGTGAACAGGCCTATGAACAATATCATCAGGTGTTGGTGGAGTTCTCTATGTCACATATAATGTAGCAGTGATTCTACATCAAATCCATTTACGAGAAGTTTTTTATCATATTGCACAGAGTCCATATTCTTAGTATAACTTTCTGTGTGGCAATGGCGCAAGGCAATAGACCTCAGTACTGATAAAGCCACACTGTGTTCTTTCCTACGGTGCTCAGTGGACCATGGGTCCCTACTGGCACCATGGGAAAGTGCACATGTAAACAAAGTGTGACGTCATCAGTACATAGGGCCTATTGATCAACTTAATAAGACACTTCATCAGATGGGGGAAATGTTTCAAAGGATTCAAGACAGAGGTACTTACAAAACAAGTGTTGACTGCCTAGACGTGCGATATGATGTTTCTGGAACCCATGGGCCATACAGCACACTTAATTGGCTTCATGCCTTAGGTTTTTAAAATATATCCCACATCACAGCAGTCAACAATTGTTAAATAGTATACTGGAAATGCTATATCTAGCACAATCCACAAATGTGCATCCATAAGACATCCATGTATGAGACTGTAATATTTCTGTAGGGTCATTACTGGGCACAATACTAAAATGAACTATCTTGCCAGAGTTTTGGCCAAATTTTGAGCCCCCAAAACAAAAAATAAGAATATTTACCTCCGCAATTTGTGCTGCTTTTATTTCCATTTCTTGCTGCAGCTGCTTCTCTTCCAGTTGCCGTATTTCACCCAACATTTGTTGTTTCTCTTCTTTAATTCTTATCAATTCCAATTTCAAATTTTCTTCTTGAAGTTTTGATTCTCCTTTTCTTCCATCACGAAGTGATCCATCTATTGTCCAGGAACTATAAATATTAAGTGAAACACCAGAAAGGAAACCTATAAATATCACTTGTGGTGAAATCTTTTAAGAATTTTTAACTTTTAAGAATACTTCTCAAATGTATTCAAAAGGAAATTTTCTCGATTGGAATATATTACCGACGTGCCCAAATCATAGAATTTAACTACTTTTATGCCCTGAGACAAAGGTCACTTGATGAAATTACATGCCAGTTTGACACCATTCTAGAAGTTGAATCTTGCTGGTAATGAATGATAATAACAAAACTACCTGTGGAGTACAGTAAACTATTGTACAGTGATTGTGGAAAATAAAGCCTAAGGACACAGTGTGAAAACAAATCTCCAGATGTCCTCTGTCCAGATATCTGGAAGAATAAATTCATGTTCTTTAACCCTCACAATTGTCAATCTTCACCTGTTCGGGGATTGAGGACTGTTATTTTTTACATAAAAATGATGTGTTTTGCGCACTTTGATTTTTGCTTCAATGCATAGTGCCTTGCTGGAGCAAAGGTTTTTATAAAGTTGACAAACCATGACCAGCCAACAGTAGACAGGCAAAAGAACAGTTCAAAATTTCATATCTCGGGCATCACCAAAACATTAAAACAAATACTTTTACCACTACTAAAACTAAATTGCCTCATTCCTTAAACAGTGATGAAGCACTTGTGTAATTGAAGGCAAGAGATTTGCCAACCAAAGACATGGTATGACTGCCCATACAAAGTGCTTGTCAATGTATGTAAACTACTTCCCACTTCAGCTGTGCTTCACAAACATTTGGAAGCACTTTTCTCTGACCATGATTTGAACAGAAACATGGCTGCATGATAAAATTTTGCGCGGTCTCTTTTTTTTTTCTAACGCAAATCCTCTTCAGAAACATGTCGACTTGATGCACCCATCAAATGTTTTCAAGATCATTACTGAAATCAGAAGCTAACTTTTACAGAAAAAATGCAGAATTCGGGGCATAGTACTTTTGTCATTTGAGGCAGAAAGTCATTTATGTATTTTCTCTACACTTGATGTAATGATTTTGGTTCATTTTGTGAGATACAGAGACTATCCAAAGAGCTCTCAAATAATATTTCACTTTGCTTTGGTGCTATGTGTTTTGAGATCCCAGAGTTCAAAGTTTGACGGTTATCCAACTTTGTCAAAAAATCATTGAGTCATACCTCATAAATAAACAAGAGAAATATTAAAAATAAAAACAAAATGATTTTGGGGTTTCTCATACTGGGAATCAATAACATTACATTTGTTCCAATCAGTAACAGGGTGAAAATTGTTACTAATAGACATGGAACAATCCTCTCCATGGTTGTGCTTTTAATGATTTACACTTTTCAGATATTTTCATGCATTTTCACTCAGAACTGTATCATACATGTAATTCCAATTATATTTCAATACGGCTTATCAGGAAAAAAAATCAGTAGTGTGTAAAGTAGCATTTTGCATTTGTTTATTGACACCTTTTTAAGCTTTCATATAAATCGAAGCAATGCTTCCTTCTATTTGTGGTAACTTATAAAACAATGTTTACAAACTACTCAAAAGACTCTGATTGCTGCTACAAGCATACCTTGTGCGTGCTCTCCCACGACCTGCTCTGATCCGATTAAGAGGTCGAGAACCTCCAACTGCTTGCTTCTGTGCAGATACACCTGGAGTGCTAGCACCACGTCTTAAATGTAAACAATAGCAACATTACATGTATATTTAGAACATTCACCAACTTTACACATTAACATCACCGCCACTCATCTAACCATTCAAGGTGAAGTATGAAATATGAAGAGAATCCTTATAAAGGGACAATGATA